GGAATTACAGGCATGCGCTACCACGCCCGGCTGATTTTTTGATTTATTGTAGAGATGAGGTCTTACCAAGTTGCTCAGGCAGGTCTCGAACCCTGCAGGCTCAGGCAATCCACTCACCTCAGCCTCCCAAAGGCGCGGGATTACAGGCTGAGCCACCGAGCCTGGCTTAAGTCTTTTAAGTCTTGATTAGCAGCTACAGTGGGATTGGTGTTGTCTCTCATTGTCTCCTGCAGTCCAGTTCCTTAAGTTATTTTCATTTCTTTCATAGCACAGGAGCAAAAACTTAAATAAGGAAATTAATAGCCATGACAATGCTTAGAACTCAAAGTGAGCATTTCACATGGGCAGGCCTCAGAGTATACAGTATTGACATATATTTGATCAATATTTTGGTTAAAAACATATTTTTAACTGAGTCTTCCCATGAAGCTGTGATAATATGAAAATGATTCTGGAACAGACCTGTCTTTATCATTCAGAGGCGATAGTTTGCTGTTGCTGCACATTTTGTGCGTTGGTACCAGTTTATCAGATTCCCGATAGAATAATAATAGCTGTTGTTATTTTAAGAAGCAATAAGTTAGCCAGGCTCGGTGGCTCAGCCTGTGATCCCGCGTCTTTAGGAGGCTGAGGTGAGTGGATTGCCTGAGCCCGCGGGTTCGAGACCTGCCTGGGCAGCGAGACCTCATCTCTACAATAAATCAAAAAAAATCAGCCAGGCGTGGTAGCACATGCCTGTAATTCCGGCTACTCGGAAGGCTGAGGCGGAGGGATCGCCAGAGGCCAGCAGGTCGAGGCTGCGGTGGCCGGGAGCGGCCACGGCACTCCAGTCTGGGTGACAGAGTGAGACTCCAACTCAAAAAAAAAAAAAAGAAGCAATAAGTTAGCCGGGCTCGGTGGCTCAGCCTGTAATCCCACGCTTTTGGGAGGCTGAGGTGAGTGGATTGCCTGAGCCTGCGGGTATGGGACCCGCTTGGGCAGGCGAGACCTCATCTCTACAATAAATTAAAAAAAAAATTAGCCGGGCGTGGTAGTGCACGCCTGTAGTTCCAGCTACTTGGAAGGCTGAGGCGGAAGGATCACCGGAGCCCAGCAGATCGAGGCTGCGGTGGCCAGGAACGGCCACTGCACTCCAGTCTGGGTGACAGAGTGAGACTCCAACTCAAAAAAAAAAAAAAGAAGCAATAAGTTCTTCAGATTTCCTTAGTTTCCTTCAGATTTCCTTAGTTTTCACCATTTACCTAATATCGACTTTAATTTTTAGCCTTGTATCATAATTAAAGGGAGGAGTTTAACCAGAATCGTTAGGGTTTTCTCAGATAGACACATCATTGCCAAGTTTTTTCTTAGTAATCATTTGTTCCTATTGTGACTGTGGAGCAAATCCATGACAGTGCAATCAGGTTAAAATTTTTTTCTTTAAGAATAATTTTTTAAAAATGCCCCAGTTGTATGGTTTAAATGTTGGAAATACTTGAAATGCCAGCATGATTTTTGTTGAATTCTTTGTGCTTTGGAATACCCTTGGGTATCTACTCCTGTCATGTTGTACATTCAGGGTTCTACACAGGAGGTATTTCAGTTGGTTTAAGCTTAGTCTTGCAAAATGGTCCCATTTGTTAAGGAAGTGGTTTTAAAGCAGACTGTAGTTCAGACAGGGAGACAAATGTGTGCAGACAAGATGGGGGGAATGTCAGAAAATTTGTCCACATTGTATTAGCAATAGCAGAACAGATAGAATATCTTAACAAGCCGGGCTCGGTGGCTCAGCCTGTAATCCCGCGCCTTTGGGAGGCTGACGTGAGTGAATTGCCTGAGCCCGCGGGTTCAAGACCCGCCTGGGCAGCGAGACCTCATCTCTACAATAAATCAAAAAATCAGCCGGGCGTGGTAGCGCATGCCTGTAATTCCGGCTACTTGGAAGGCTGAGGCGGAAGGATCGCCGGAGCCCAGCAGGTCGAGGCTGCGGTGACCGGGAGTGGCTCCTGCACTCCAGTCTGGGCGACAGAGTGAGACTCCAACTCAAAAAAAAAAAAAAAGAATATCTTAACAGATAGAAAGATGAACAAAAGGAAATGTAATAGTATGCAACTCTACAGACTTACTGCAGGAATGAAAGGTTAAGAAAAAAAATGTAAATATGGCTGAAGCAAAGACTATAGAACCAACTCTGTTTAAGTCATGAAGTCAGAAAATCATTAAAACATTTGGACTGACCGGGCTCGGTGGCTCCGCCTGTAATCCCAGCACTTTGAGAGGCTGAGGTGAGTGGATTGCCTGAGCCCGCAGGTTCGAGACCAGCCCAGGCAACTTGGCGAGACCTCATCTCTACCAATAAATAAAAAATTAGCCGGGTGTAGCAGCGCGCGCCTGTAGTTCCAGTTACTTGGAAGACTGAGGCAGATGGATCGCCTGAGCCCAGCAGGTCAAGGCTGGGGTGACCGTGAGCGTGCCACTGCACTTCAGCCTGGGTGACAGAGTGAGACCCCAACTAAAAAAAAAAACCCAAAACATTTGGACTAAGACTAGACAGAAAGCAGTGCTTTGGAGTATCTGCAAACGTAAAAATGGAACATAATGTAGGGATAAGAGATGCCAAAAAAGTTACTAGTAAGCAAGAGATAAAAATGAAGATTAATTGCACATAATCCTTTATTAATACGGTGCTTGTTATTTATACCTCACTTTGTTCCAGAAAGGATATAAAATATCTTACAGAGGAACATACAACAATATATAGCATGTAGTAAAAATAAATAGATGGAGGAAATCCATAGAAAGATCAAATGGGGAAAGACTAGGAATATTGTTCACAAAATATACCATGAGTTCCTGCATATCCATAGGTGAAAAGCTTGCCTTAAACTTTCTAACAGTCACCCCAAAGAGGAAAAGTATACATTTTTACTTTGGCTATTTAAATTTAAGCGAATTAAGATCAGAGACAAGTTTCTGAAAGTCTTTGTAAATCACATTATACTGTCCTCAGTAACTTCCTTATAGTAAATATGTCAACAAGTTCTTAGGGCTTTTAACCCTAAGACTGATGGCATAGCTCAGAAACAATTCATTAGAAGTGGTTCAGTAGGACCGGACTTGGTGGCTCAGCCTGTATTCCCAGCACTTTGGGAGGCTGAGGCGAGTGGATTGCCTGAGGCTGCGAGTTTGAGACCAGCCCAGGCAACTTGGGGAGATCTTGCCTCTACAATATAGTAAAAAATTAGCCGGACGTGGTAGCGTGCACCTGTAGTTCCGACTTCTTGGAAGTCTGAGGCGGAAGGATCCTGGAGCCCAGCAGGTCAATGCTGGGGTAGCCATGAGTGTGCCACAGCAGTCCAGCCTGGGCAACAGAGTGAGCCTCCAACTCAAAAAAAAAAAAAGAAGTGGTTCAATAGGAGATCAAAAATAGTACATGTATTCAATTGGGTAAAAGGTCACGAGTAATCTTTTGGTATTTTTGTGAGCAAAATGACTAATAGGGTTTTGATGGATTCTTGTTTAATCTTTCCTAAACCTATTTTTCTGATCAGGCCATCTTCAGTTTTTTTAATTGTAAAATCTACAGGAGTTTTGAAGAACTAAACCTTCAAGATAGAGTAGTGAATATTTCCATTTGATTACTGCTGACGTTCTTTTTGGAGAAGTTAGGAATCCTGTCCTTTTCTAAAATCCATAGTTATAGCAGAATTGTTTATAAGACCAATTCTCTTGGTCATATGAGGAGTATTTTAAAAATATTTCTTTTACCACTGGGTGCAGTGGCTCACACCTGTAATCCCAGCACTTTGGGAGGTGGAGGCAAGAAGATTTTCTGAGCCCAGGGGTTCAAGACCAGCCTGGGCAACTTGGCAAGACCGCGTCTCTACAATAAATAAAAAAATTAGCCGGGCATGGTGGTGCATGCCTGTAGTTCCAGCTACTTGGAAGGCTGACGAAGAAGGATTGCCTGAGCCCAGCAGGTCAAGGCTGCCTTGGATATGAGAATGCCACTGTACTCCAGCCTGGGTGACAGTGAGACTGTGACAAAAAAACCCAATTCTTCCTTTTACCTGTTAACTGCAAAATGATGACACTTAAATTAATGTGCCTCTTTTTTCCCCAGCATATCTCACTGAAGCCATGAAGCTGACACAGTCTGAGCAGGTGAGACATGTTCTTAATATTTGCAACAAAGTAAGAGACATCTTCTTATAGAGACTTGAATTGTGTATAAAATAAAGCATTGTGTACCTCTCAAAACACTGTAGTAAAAAATATTTAAAATGAGCAAGAGAAGACAGGAAATTAAACCTAGATGAACTGCTGCTATTGCCCTGAACATGGCATGCAGAGACTTCTTCTTTTCTAGTGGTTACTTGCAAGTCTGAGATCACCAGATGTGTTCTTTAGAGACCCTCGTAGGACCTTTTCTGATCAGGAGTTGTACCTGACCATTAACCCACAGTCAGTAAACAGCCCTTTGCTTGCAATGACGGTTTAAATCTGAACAGTTTCCCCTTTGTGTTTGCGTGAATTCTTAGGCAATTGTGGTACTTTTATATTTATTTCACCAATTGCTTTACATTGTCTTTTGTGTTTGGGGGAGGGCTCGCTTAGGTTTTAAGTGCCCAAATGTGATTCCCTGGTTATGCAGTTGTCGGGTACTAGGTGGTACTCACTGAATTATTTGTCTAACTGGATTAAAGAGACCATTTCTGGTGAGCATTGTCAGGGGCAGGGAAAAGCCACTGGTTCTTCAGACTGAACCAAGGGAACTCACAGATGTGTCCAGGCCTTAACACCCCCTCTGGCAGTGAGAACTTGCTTCCACTAGTAAGGCATTGAGCCTTCTGAGCATCCTGTTGATAGGAAGACTTTCTTTTTAGCTGGTTGTTGAATTATGTCTAAAGAGGGAAGATTTTTAATTGTGAGTGGAATACAAATAGCATTGCAGGTAGGGCAAGACCCTGATTCAGGGTGTCGATGAGAATAGGACTTCTGACTTTCTGAATGAATGGTGTTTTACTTATGAACAAAAACAAGTTTATCTAGAAAGACCTAGTTTTGAAAACATGTTTGTGATTCTATTCAGTTGCAAACAGTATATAAATTTTAAGTGTTTCTGAGTTATTCAGAAAGGAGGACCTTGGAATTGTATATGTTAAACATTAAAATGTTAACCTCTGCAATTGTGCCTCACCTCTGTGGGACAGGCTCATCTGTCACTGGAGTTGCAGCGGGACAGCCACATGAAGCAGCTGCTCCTCATCCAGGAGAGATGGAAAAGGGCCCAGCGAGAGGAGAGACTGAGAGCCCAGCAGAGCACAGACAAGGATGGAGCCGCCCTCCCCCAGGCATCTCACAGACCTTCTGCTGAGGACACAGAGGGCCAGAGTCCCCTTCTTCCTCAGAAGTACCGCCCTCCCACGGAGAAACACTTGCCGGAAATCCAGGGAGTCTTTGACAGGGATCCAGACACGCTACTGTTTTTGCTTCAGCAAAAGAGTGAGCCAACAGAACCATGTCTCGGAAGCAAAGCCCCAAAAGATGATAAAACGATTATAGAGGAGCAGGCAACCAAGATTGCAGATTTGAAGAGGCATGTGGAATTCCTTGTGGCTGAGAATGAGAGATTAAGGAAAGAAAATAAACAACTAAAGGCTGAAAAGGCCAGACTCCTAAAAGGTCCAGTAGAAAAGGAGCTGGATGTAGACGCTGATTTTGTCGAAAAGTCAGAGTTGTGGAGCTTGCCACCACATTCAGAAACAGCCACAACCTCTTCCACCTGGCAGAAGTTCGCAGCAAATACTGGGAAAGCCAAGGACATTCCAATACCCAATCTTCCTCCCTTGGATTTCCCGTCTCCAGAACTTCCTCTGATGGAGCTCTCGGAGGATATTCTGAAAGGACTTATGAATAATTAAGGTGGAAGGCCAGGGAAGAGGTGACAGGAGGATATAATGCAGTTCCACAGTTATCCAGAAAAAAAAAAAGGGAAAACCACACGCAAGGGTAATCCCAGAAGTGCTTTGTCATCTGGTGTCCTGTGGGAGCAGAGGCATTGCCAGGCCTTGGGAAGCAGTCACTGTGAAATGTGTCGCGTATCTGATTCACCAACTGGAGCTCATGATTCCAACTTGGCAGACACTAAACTTGTGGAGTTCGCTTTCTCCTGATACAAACCAAATGGCTACCTGGAATAATTTTTTCAAGCAGCAATTATTTTTCTTATCTTCAGGGTTAAAATGTATAAAAGTATGTTATGTGTAATTAATCGATAATGCCATAAATGATAATGCAAAACCTAAATAATATGGTGGCCCTAGGGGCTGCCGGTATCGGAAACATGCTTTCTGTCATACGTTGACTGTATGCATTTTGTTAATGCACATTTTTTTTTAAGGTGTGTAAGATACACACCTTTCTAGATGAAACTATATGTGCCACACTTTGCACTACTCATAATGATAACCTCAAGACTATCAGGAGAAATATTTAAATTTCCATTTTATGAAGAAAGGAACCAAATTATTAGTTACACTTTTTTTTTTAAACAAATTATCAGTTTACATAATTAATCAGGGTGCATTTTAAGTTCTAACTTTGTTTATTGTGTAATGCATCATTTGAAAATACTAAGGAAACATCCTTTGTTTTTAATGATGCATGAGTGGAAGTAATGCTAGCTGGCAGTGTTTGATTGTAAGACATCAATAAAGTAATTGTGTTTTATACCTTTGTGGAATATGTTGATAGTTAAAAAGCAGGGCACTGATGGCTTCTCTCTGCTGTGAGCTCTGGATATGAATTAGAGCAGATGCGGTTAGGTGGTTACTTGGTGTGTGAAGTGTTTTTTTGAGCATCCCGTTGTCCTTTTCTCCGACAACCAAGACAGAGGAATACCAAAGTTCCTGAGTTTCAGTGTGTTCCTAACCCTTGTCTTGACCTTGCACTCAAGGAAAACGCTCAGGGTTGTTCTAGGCGGGAGGCAGCTGTCCCTGTGCACCTGCCACCTCATCAGAGCAGAGTGGGTGGGGAGGCCCTGCTGTGTTGTTCTCCTCCCTGCTGAGTCGGACAGTGTTCTAGGAAAGGGAATGGGAAGAAGGAAAATAAGCACAGCATTTGAGTACAAGCCACTGGGTTTGTTTAACTCCTGTACTTGTGTGTGGAATTGTGGGAGTGAGAAAAATATATTGCCTCCTTTGAGGGAATCAAGGACAGTTGAGTTGAGGGGGCAGGGGTGGACTCACACATACCCAGTGATGAAACGAGTAGAAGCAGGAAGGACTGAAGTGACAGTGCAGAAATTGCATTTTTTTCCTGTTTAATCTTGCTGCAGCTGAAACAAAAAACAAAGTGGCCTCTTAAAACATCATTAAGCATTCTGTATTCTGTTAAAAGTTATGTTATTTCATCCATTCACCTCAGTGTTTTCATATTCCAGACTCAGGACATTTTACTTGCCTGACCTTCCTCACAAAACGAGATTTAACCCGGGTATAGTGACTCACACCTATAATGCCAGCATTTTGGGAGGCTGAGGTGGGAGGACCGCTTGAGCCCAGGAATTTGAGGCTGTGGTGAGATATAATTGTGTCACTGCATCCCAGCCTGGACAACAGAGCGTGACCCTGTCTCAAAAGACAAACCCCTTGAGATTTAAAAGATTGTACAAAAAAATAAACTACTGTTTATGCATCATTAGGTGATTTTCTTGTGTGGACATCCTAGAGTGTACAAACCTAGGTGAAGTAACCTGCTACACACCGGAGCTGAAGGGAGTGGCCTGTCACTCTTAGGCTAGGAACCAGTGTGGCGGTTGTACTGATCCTGCAGGCGGCTGTAACAAAATGGGAAGTATTTGGGTATCTAGACAGAAAATGTAACAGTAAAAACACAGTGTTACCATCTTCAGAGACCACTGTATGGGGTCTGCCTTCGACCAAAACGTCCTCATGTGATGTGTGACTATTATTAGCCTAGCCATTTCTTTACAAAATGAGATTTGTTATCTTTGGCATAAACACTTTCTACCCGCCCCCTTCTGCCTCTGTTTCCCTCTCCCACTGTCCCTCCTTTTTCAGTTTGATACCCATCTCCCAGGACCCTTTTCTGTGCATTTTACTTTTCGATTGACTTTGAAGCTCTTACTCGCACAACTTAGTACTTCCATTTAATCTGGTTCTTAAGTTTTGTGTTTGGGTCTGTTTCTAGAATTCATGTGCCTATGTGGTACCTTTGCAGCGTCCTAGCACAGTGTCTTGCATAGAGTAGATACTACACAAAAACCCCAGCACCCTACTTGTTTGACTCACTCTAAGGACCTAACCTGTAGGCCTACTGCCCACCCGCGGGCGGGGGTTGCTGGGTGCTTTTGTGCCTTCCCAGCATAGCGTGAGGCTCTGGGAGGGATGTGGGAATTGCTTGCTTCCTAACTAGCGTACTCTGCGTGTGTAGGGAGGTCAGCAGGCTCTTGTCCTGCGTTACCCAGTGGCGGCCTTTTGCTGAGTCCAGTTGACTTGCTGGGTGTTAAGCCAGGGAGCCTAGCTCCGAGTTCTTGTTTTTAGCTTTTCACAGAATAACAATAAAACAAACATTGCTTTCAGAAAGTATGTAATCTATGGTGACAGTTTTAGCTGTATTGCCGTAGTAACTACAGGTAGTCCATACTACCTGTTTAAGAGAAATAGAAGAAAGATGTTTTCAAAATCATCAGTTCCTTCAAAACCGATGTCTATCTGTAGTGTTTCATCAAGGTTATTGAAATAATGAAAATACTCTGTTTTGTCTCTAGGTAAGTAACTTATCTTGCTACTTTTAACACTTTGTAGTATCCTTTTGCATTTGTTTTGAGTCAGAGTCTCTCTCTGTCATCTAGGCTTGAGTGAAGTGGCATGCTCACAGCCACCACAGCCTCGACCTGGGCTCAGGTGATCCTTCCACCTCAGCCTTCCAAGTAGCTGGAACCACAAGCGTGTGCCACCACGCCTGGCTAATTTTAGATTTGTTGTAAAGACGAAGTCTAGCCAAGTTGCCCAGATTGGTCTCGAATCCCTGGGCTGAGGCAATTCTCTCACCTCCGCCTCCCAAAGTGCTAGGATTACAGACATGAGCCACCACACCCAGCCCCTTTTTTTCCCAATATATTTTGGGTGTCACAATTTTTAGGGCCTTCAAGCCATGCTGTTTTTATATATAAACAAACAAAGGCCCAGAAGTCAATGGGTTCTGTGACGCTATGTGCCAGATTGGGAACAGAGCCAAGAGGTCTGATAGCAGTGAGACTGGACCCCACTGGGACTGAGTTGTCCAGGGACCTGGTCATCCAAACTTCACCTCTTGGACACAGTCTACTGCTGGACCTCTGCTAACCTTTGCTTCCCAAGGAGGCGTTGGAGACTATGATACTGTGATTTATGAGAATAACTTTTGCTCTTTGTCCTGGCCCAGAATTGCTAAGACCCTTGTAATTTTCTGGGTGGTTCGGGGCATCTTCTGTTCTAATGAGGCAACTCTTGGTGGGTCCCTGGATGGGTGCTGGCCGCCATAAAGACTAAGCCATGATTAGAGGCTTGGATCTCCCAGCTCCGTGCCCCATCCTTCAGGAAGAGGAGAGAGATGGCAGACTGAATTAACAATTGATAATGACTATTGTGGTGAACCTCTGTAAATTGTAGGCCAGTGGCCAGGTGCAACAGCTCACACCTGTAATCCTAGCACTTTGGGAGGCCAAGGTGGGAGGATCGCTTGAATCCAGGGCAATATAGCAAGACCTCATCTCTACACAATATGAAAAAGTTAGCCAGGCATGAAGGTGTGCGCCTGTAGTCCCAGCTACTCGGGATGCTGAGGCGAAGCATAGTCAGAGCCCAGGGGGTTGAGGCTGTGGTGAGCTGTCATGGTGCCACTGCTCTTTTCTCCAACCTGGACAACAGAGTGAGAGACCCTGTCTTAAAATACAAAAACACCTCGATGGTGTCCACCAGAAAATTCACGTGTAGGAAAAAAACATCTGGTGTCAGAAGTGAACTACTGTGTGAGTTGAGAGGGAAATAGTTGGCTTTTGGTCTGGTGAAAGTTGAGTTTGTTCTTACACTTGGTAGTAAAAAAGCCTCATGTCCATTATTTATGGTAACCCTTTTCATTTATGAGCAGTTGGGGTTAAAATTTTGTTTTCAAACCATTAAGATGAATACTAGTGTGAGGTCCAGTCTTCCACAGGGTGTTTATAACCTATTTGAAAGAGTCAAGATGTGAACTGTAATAATAGTTATTACTTATTGGATCATTCTAGATCAGTGGCTTATCTATGTAAGATCAAAAATGATCTTTAACATCCTGTTTTGTCATTAGTCCGGTGTAACCCCACCAAAGATCTCTGTGGGAGTGGATGGCAGTGGCCGTTTTAAAAAGGCTGTCCTCAGATGGTGTCCCGAGTACAGCAGTCCTGTAAGAGCTACTGCTGCCCAACAGTGCCATCTGCTGGACAGTGCGAAACAGTCAAGGTCCTTGTTGGGTCGTTGGCAGGACGAGTATTTGGCGTCAGACTCAAGACTACACTGTGCCGATAACTGACAGGGAAGAATGGGTCTGACTGAGGTCTTACTTGACTTTGCTAGTCGAGGACAGATATGGAAACCCACTTAAAAAGAAAGTGTTGTTAAGAAGATCTGGATCAAGTTAGACATCTACGGACTGTAGCCTAAGTATTCAAGCACCAAATAACAATGAACACCTAGTTAAGGGGCACTGTATTACCTTCTGCCACTAAAAACATAAAGTAGCTGGCATATTTCTAGCTTTTGTGGAAGAAGTATCAAGGATTAGAGATTATGGCTTTCTAGGCAGAGAACAGCATGAACAAAGGCATGGAATTAGAAGTGGGCAGGCTAGGCTCAATGGCTTATGTGAGCCTATATTCCCAGTGCTGTGGAAGGCTGAGGTAGGAGGATCACTTTAGGCTAGGAGTTCAAGACCAGCCTGGGAAACATAGTGTGACCGCCCATCTCTACAAAAAAATAAAAAAAGATTTTTTAAAAATGGGGAGGGGAGGAATTGAGTAAGTTTGGTTTGAGTCAATTGTGGCAGGATATGCTATAAGGCAAATTTTGATAAGGGCTTAAGTGGATTAGCCTTCCATTTCCTAAAAGTGAGGAGACCAGGGTCAGGTCCTGGTCTTGAGGAATGGAAAATATTTGGAATAGGCCCTCAAGGTTAGGATTGTTCAACAGCCAAAATAATCCAGGTGAGGGTGAGGTCAGTTTTTGTGGTTCCTGGCCTGCTTCTCTATTGTGGGCAGTAAATTAGAAAAAACAGGTGGGGGGGGGGGCAGGGAGGAACAGGTAGCAGGATAGACCAGGTAAGACAGAAGGATAAAGGGTGAAGGAATCAAGAATACAAATGAGAATATCTTTAAAGTTGCCAAGCATAAAATCCTAGGACATACTGGAAGGCAGAGACTACAAGACAGTTTATTTAAGGAGCAGCATGAAGTTGAGGGACCAAAGCCTTATAAAGGATGCTCATAGGCAAAGGATACCTTCTAGAAAGAGGTAAGAAAGGAAGCTTGTGGTCTGAGAAAGGGATTCTCTACTTGGTTGATCTGAAGAACCTATTCTCCCTCAATCACCCAAAGAAAAGGCTTGCTATTTAGGGGATCCGCCACCACCAACAGATCTTTCGGGGCGGCGGGAGGGGGGGTCTTAGATCAGATATTTCCCTATTCTTAGGAGGA